ACATGGCACTTGTTCAAAACTAAGCTTTGATCACTGATACGCACTAATGTTCCGTCACGGGTGCTTTCCTCAAAGCGTAGAACTAGTAAGCCCTGGATGAACAGCACCCTCAAGGCCTTGATTAATTGCAGGCACCGCGTGCATCGAAAGTACCGCCAGACACCACAACGTGAGCTACATGAAACGTTAAAAGAACTAAACAAGAGTGTTGCTAAACAGATGCGCTGTGCTGAACTTGAGCATCTGGGTCGCCTAACTGATAGGATCAAAAATAACCCGAAAGAAGTCTGGAAGTACGTTAAAAGCAAGCAGGCTGTGAAGGAAACGATTCCAGATGTTATAGATGACCTCAACTTTAGCGCAGACTTAAAGGGCAAAACTGAGAGATTCAATCTTTATTTTCAGTCTGTTTTCACCCAATCAGTTTGCCTACCCAGCGGCCCTCAGTTAGTCAGAAAAAACTCAGAAATGATTGAAATATGTTTTACTGAACGTGGAGTCTTAGCTCTGATACAAAAAATTAAGGTAAATGCGGCACCTGGTCCTGATGCTATTCCTAATTATGTTTTAAAAAACTGTGCTGCCGCACTTGTACCATTCCTATTCTTGCTCTTCGAAAAATCAATGGAGCTTGGCTGTTTACCTGACGACTGGAAAAGTGCCAACGTTGCCCCCATCTTCAAAGCAGGAGACAAAACGCGAACAAAAATTACAGACCGATGTCGCTAACTTTTGTAATATGTAAATTGATGGAACACATTATCTATACCAATTTAATCTCCCATCTTCAAGACAATAACTTTTTCTGCACTACGCAACACGGTTTCAGAAAAGGGTTGTCCTGTGATACTCAACTAATTGAATTTAGTCATGATATAGCTGCCTCGATCGACAATGGATGCCAAGTGGACTGTGTATTTTCAGATTTTCAAAAAGCGTTTGATTCTGTATCACACAATTTATTATTACTTAAACTGTCTGCTCTAAATATCCCTCCCTGTTTGTTGAAGTGGCTTGAAGCGTGTCTTGTTGGTAGAAAACAGCGGGTTGTTCTCGAGGGAGTGAATTCATCTGAAGTCGATGTCTTATCAGTGGTCCCCCAGGGATCTGTTCTGGGACCCCTTCTTTTTTTGATATTTATAAATGATATAACCCAACAAGTATCCAGCCGCATGCGCATGTATGCAGATGACTGCTGCATATATCGTGACGTCACGTCCGCTCAAGATTCTGCTCAACTACAAAGTGATCTAAATGCTGTGTTATCATGGTGCACCACATGGAACATGACAGTTAACTTTTCAAAACGTAATACCGTTCGCTTCACACACAAAAAGAACATTCTAAATACGAATTACTTTCTTGGAGACAATCGTTTGGAAGTTGTGTCTAAATATAAGTACCTAGGCGTTTTCTTTACGAGCAACCTATCCTGGAACGACCACATTGAATACGCCGGTGCTAAAGCAAGCCGTGTATTGAACTTCCTGAAGCGTAACTTTAAACAGGCCCCACCTAAACTAAAGGATATGCTCTATCTTTCCAACGTTCGCTCAATTTTAGAGTACGGTTGTGTGGCTTGGGATCCAGACACTAAAATATGTACTAATGCGCTAGAAAGGGTTCAGAAACGAGCAGCGCGTTTTGTGTCTGGTAACTATGATTTCACTAACCTCTCTTCGTGCATTCGTAAACATTTGGGTTGGCCTATTCCTGCAGGACAGGCGCAAATTCTTAAGAATAAATCTATTTCATAATAATTATATTGGTAGCACTGGTTTAAATAAACACGTGTACATTAAAGATCCCACTTATGTATCCTCTCGCCTAGATCACTCCCGCAAAGTTCGCGATTACCGATGCCGCATAAATACTTACAAAAACTCCTTCTTCCCGAAAACCACACGCGAATGGAACAACCTACCAGAATATATTGTATCCACCCCGCCACCCTCATTTCATAATGCTCTGTCACAATTTTTGTTGAAATGAAAGATGTCAATTTCTGTCTGCATTTCTGTTTGTGTTTTACTTTTCCTTGATTGCCTCATGTTCCCGAGAATGTGTACACAATGTATAAGCTGAGCATGCTTACTTGTTTTGTTATCGGTATTCATGGTATTCATACCCTGTATCAATTTCAAGTTTTATGTCTCCTCCCCCCTACTGTAATGCCCAAATTGGGTGCTGTAGGTACTCGAATAAATAAATAAAATAAAAATTTTATCTGTCTGCCACGTCGAGCCTTCCTCCGGCCACCTAGGATTCGCACGTACCCTTGCCCGGATTCAGAGTTGCTACTGCTGGCCAAAACTCACCCAGGATGTCAAGCATTACATTAACGTGCAATCATTGCCAGTGCTGTAAAGCCCTACCTGGGCGCCCTGCTGGTTTATTGCAGGCTGTTGCATCCCCTTCGCAACCATTTGAACGAATCGGCATGGACTTGCTTGCGCCCTTCTCGAAGTCACATGATGTCAACCGCTGGATCGTAGTCACTACTGACTATTTAACAAGGTACTGCGAAACGAAATCCCTACAACGAGGCACCGCCGATGAGATTGAGTAGTTTTTCATCAACAACATCGTCCTTCGCCATGGAGCGCCAGGAGTTCTTATCACTGACCGTGGAACAGCCTTTACAGCCCAATTGATGCAAGACGTCACGAGATTTAGTGGAACAGCTCATCGCAAAACGACCACATACCATCCACAAACCAATGGTCTGATGAAGAGATTAAACAAGGCGCTCGCTGACATGCTATCTAGGTGCGTCAACCGCGATCACAAAAACTGGGACGAAATTTTGCCATACGTAAGGTTCGCTCACAACACTGAGGTTCAAAAGAATACGGGTTTCACTCCCTTGTAGTTGCTTCACGGCCGAGAAGCAATTACGATGCTGGATGTCATGCTCTTGCCTGACATGACCGATATTCCTACGAATGCGAACGACTTTATCCGGCTCGCGGACGCGGCGCGCCAGTTTGCACTTGAGCGGATCCGAAAACAACAACGCATCGACTCGCAGAGGCACAACTCCCGTCATCACCATGTTATTTACTAACCCGTTGATCTGGCGTGTCTGTGGATCCTCTTTCGCCAAAGGGGCCGCTCCGAGAAGTTACTTCACCGCTACTTTGGTCCTTATAGAGTACTACGGTGCCTCAGTAATGTCAACTACGAAATTCTGCTTGAAGACACAGCTCGGCGATCTCAATGTTCCCAGCAGGTCGACATTGTTCATGTGCCACGGATGAAGCAACATTACCCCCGAGCCACATGAAACTGCCTCATCATGCGTCTTTTAGCATGTACGCTATTACTTTATTATTTAATCGGCATTGATCATCAGGGCAGTACTTTTCTTTGGAAAGAGAGGGGGGAGGGTAATGCCAGAGGCATAGAACAAGGTTTAGCCATGCCAATGCCCGTATGTGCCATGGTGTGAAAAAAAAAGAACTGTTCGTGTGCTCGTGCTGTAACGTTCAATTCGGCTCGAAGTCCATTGCTGCTGCTCCTGTGAACAGGCGTTGTGGTCTTTCCGTAATCACGTGATAATATGTACCATAAAAAACAAAAGCTTGCGGGACACGAAGGGTTCGGAGAAGCTAAATTGTCACTTTGCCTAAGAATGTAATTTTGAAAGAAATATTACATACTGCACTTCGCATTCCGACCTATGCCGTCACCTGTCTGATTACAAGCGTTAAGTACCGACGTAGCGGAAATTCGCATTTGTTGTGGATTCAACATCTACAAAGCTTTTCCTCTGCGTAGTACTTTCATGGATTTTTCGTGGCACTAGATCCACCTCATTTCTCTGCTTTTGCAGCTACATAGCTGGCTGTTCATTGCTTTGCTGCTTCGTTTACCTAATGTCTATTCAACCAGCACATCAATACGGTGTTTTGGGTGTACTTGCATCAATAAGCGTTTAATATTTTATTAGTCGTGGAGCCTTTTTTTGGTCTTTTTGCTTTTACTTTTTCGCAACTAAACTGCTGTTTTCAGAGCAATCGGTACATATCAATAATGACTCTACTAAGCTTCGGTTCAGAAATAAAAGCTGAACAGTTGCCGAGGTGCATGGCCTGCACATGAATGGATTCAATTTTTAGGGCAGCAGTTGCACTTTTGAAGGAAGCAAAAATGCTAGAGGCCTGAGTGCTTTTGATTTAACATTCACACTCAGAACCCCATTATTATTGTTACATCAAGTGAACAAAGTGGTAATTCTAGATTGCATAAATATTTTATAGACTGTATACATATTTCAATTAGGAGAGGTGAGCTGCTTAGTAGATAGGTATTTATGTTAAAAAGGCAGGGCATGCAAACTTGGACTCGAGAGAGTAGTCAAGACACCACAAACACCTACTGAAAAAGTTGACATTAAGCTAGAAACGAAACAAGGCAAGTGGAGATAATAATCAAGACGGCATGTCTGTTGGTCTATGTGAGAGATAATTGCTCAGCGCTTGATTTCTTCGTTGGGGTATTGGATGGTTGTCTCACACTTGCACTAGAACATGTCGCTAGGCCAAGCCTCAACCATTAGATGCATTTTTTCATTTCTGTGCTTGTACGAAACTGCATGACGCTAATTTTGGTATGCATTTATGTCGTGTTATGACGATAGGCTTAATGATGAGCTCTGGTTAACTGCCCTATATGTTCTGTTAGTCTGCCTTCTAATTGATAGTTGGAATTTTAAATGTCCTGACTCACCTGCAGCCATGTTTGCGTGCCCAGTCTTTTCAGCATGTGTGCATATCATGCGTGAGGAAAAAGGGTATTCAGTGAGTATTGGGGAGTTAAATTTATGTCTAGTGTAAAAGGCTTCTGTTTTCTTCTGTTAGATGTCTTGCTTAACAATGACTGGGCATTATTTTGGAGCATGCTTTCGAGGATGCTTTTTCATGAGGCCGACAAAAACAAGCTGTTTTACATAGGGCATGCTAAAAAAAGTGAATTGTTTCTAATGTTTTTTTTGGCAGACATTCTACAAAAACTGGCCAAAAGGCGAACATAAGGCTGTACAGATAGACACACAGAAACCATCAGGCTGCCTCAGAATTTGTGACTGAGCCTCATTCTGTAAGTATTTGCAAGTACATGGACTTGTCATGTTAGTCTGTTAAGTGGTTTCTTGAGCATTTGCAATATTTTTCAAAACGAATGCTTTGATGCCTCAATGTGGAAAGCAGTTGTTCCAGCACTAGTTTTCGGGAAAAACTTTGTAATACAGCAGAGTTCTTTGAAACCGTGTGCTAACAAATTGAGTTATGGGAGAAAAATAACTGACACATGATTGTTGCTTCATGCTTTTACCACAGTCTTTGTTTCTTTGTCAGCAAAATTTTATGGCTAAGGAATCAAAATAATTTTTGTTTCAATTTATGCTAATGCTGGTCGTGAAAAAACATGGCAATTTGGTACTCGCTCATGACCAGCAGGTCGAAGGTTTGAGTCCCGGCAGCAGCGGCTGCGTGTTTGATGGAGGTAGATATGTTGTAAGTGGTCGAAATTGCCGGGGCCCTGCACCACGGCGTCTCATAATCATATGGTGGTTTCGGGACGTTAAATCCCACATATCAATCAAATCAAACACGACAAAATGCAGTGTTTTTGTATATTTTTACAACAGTTATTCTTTCTTGTAGAATAAAATTACATTGTTTGTTTCAAGGGCATTTACCAAAAGGTAAAAATACTTCTGACCCTAAAAATTGAAGACACCTACATACATTTTTACCCTGGGTTATTTGGCTGATAAGACAGTCAATAAAACACAAAAGGTGAGCAATAATTTGAGAAGCAAGGCTTACTGTGTATATCATAAAAGTCTATCAAACACTACATGACAGTTGTCTTATTATGGCAGAAAATAAGATGATGATAGAGGGGGGGGGCTTGAATAAGGGTCAAATTATTAAAGTTTGTTTTTAGAGCCAATTAAGATTTTGAAATATCAGGTTGTTTCGAATGTTTGGGCAAAAGCGTTTGTCTAAGTCGTGGCAGTAATCTTGATACGGTTAGCTGGTCTGGTAAATGGATGTCTTCTTATTGAATCATTCATTTTCATCATCATGAACTTTGTTTTAAACTGTTGAGCAACCAGACCCCTGCTAAGTGTCTTGTCCTCTACAGCTTACATTTTGCACCCAGTATCGTTACAATAGAAGCGTTTGTTAAAGTTGAGGATTTGTAATGAATGTGTTGAGATGCATACCTGATGAATAAAAATCATTGAACGATTGTTAGAGCTTCTTGTTCGACAACAGAACTTTTCTTTACAGAGGCAGCAAACTGCATCAAGGTTGCTGCCAGAACTTAGAGAAATTGTCCTAATCAAACATTGGCTCGAAAAACACACTTAATTTATCAAAATGACATTCATTCAAGCTCCCAACTTCATGTTAGCTGCTGCCGTAATGAGACGTACAACTGTCATGAAGTGTTTATTAGAATTTTAAAAAACTATATATGCAAGCCTTGCTACTTTATTTATAGCTCACCATTTGTGCCAATGCGTTATTCATTGTCTTTATAGGCCAATACCTCCACCTTGATGTTGTAAATAAGGCGACGTGTACCCATCCAGCACCCTGTCATGCGCAGTGACAGAGTGCTGGATGGTTTGAGGGTAGGAAACGACAACGAAGTCTTGATCCTCTTATCTCACAGCTCCTCTTTCTCGCTTCAAAGGTTCCGTTACAATATATTCCCTGCCGCACGTAGGCCTTCGCAGTGGTCTACAATATGCTTTGTTTTGTGTAAAATTTTATAATTTATAGCAAAATTTCTTTGTTCACCCCCCATAACTGTCCATGGTTTTAGTATTTACAGAAATTGTAACTCCCCCACCAGTGCACTAATTAAATGGAATTTGTTATGCAAGTCTATGAATTCTTTTGCAGTTAGAGTATAGTGTGTTTAACGTTGAGTTTTTGTCTACTATAGCAAAAAGTCTTCGTAGCATCATGCTGCTTGTTCTGCATGTGATCATTTCTTGTCCAGAAATACCGTCTGCTTTTGTGATTGATTAAATAGTGGTGTGAACAGAGGTGATGTATGTAGTAGACACCATAGTGGTTTAAACTCTGAACTTTGCTGCTGCTACAATAGTTTTTTTGTACTTCATTTCACACACACAGAAAGAAGCCAAGTGGAGCTTTTCATGGGCCATGCACACAGTTTCATAAGAGGGCTTTCCGCACTTTTGACAATTATGTTTCTGAATACATCTGCCAAAATTGTGTTCAAAGAAGCGTGTAGTAGTGCATTTCATTGATCATTTAGCATGCTGCAGCAGGTATGACTGACACACCTGCAAGATAACGCAGCACAGTGCATACACACAAACTACCCTCACATACACTCTGGATTTGTGGTTTAACTGTAAATTATATACTCTGACCTTCTACAACAAATAATAAAAAATGACATGAAAGCTTTGCCATCTATACAAGTAGCATTCTCAGTGTATGATAGCAACAGGTGTGCAAAGTTCAACCAGTCCACAGGTCACATATTTTCTTGTAAACATTTATATTTAGAAGGCCTGGGTTTCTGAAAGCTGATACATGGTCACAAATTGACCGCGACTATAGAAGTTTTCTGTTTTCCCACCTTGGTACACGAGGTGGCATAGTCAACTTGTTCAGGCTGCAGCTATGTCTTGCGACTCAGCAGCGTTCAACAAGCTGTGTCAGAACATGTTGCATGGAAAACTTAAGCAATATCCTCTTTACAATCTGTAAGTTTCGTGACCATTCTTCATTTGTTTTGCCCGTGGAAGTTGCATCGCAATTTTCGCTTTATACTTTACCGATGATCTCACTCAAATCTCGAGTGCTTTTCGGTGTACCTTGGGATATACATTCCTGGACCGCACTCCTGCGCATGATCGGAGGAATTTCTTCTCCAAAGTACACTGCGGTATTGCAACACCACTCCTATTAGCGAAATGGGCAGAAAGATTTCAGAGGTTTAGAGACTGCGAAGGGGGGGTGCTGCTACTGCCACAAGTGCAGCTTGTTCCGAGACTGAGTTTAACTGCTGGCTTAGCGTCTATATAAGCAGCACTGGAAAGTAGCTTGGAGACAGATCGGGGGGGGGGGGGGGGCTTGGAGAATATTGCTTGATTTGTTGTCAACCATTAACTTCCAAGAAGATGTTCACGAGGATATATATTGCTAAATAACTGGTCAACCTTCACTGATTTGTTGCCAACATATGCTGCCATCTGCTTAGGTGGGAACACTTTTGTGCATTTTTTATTAATTGCAAGTCCAAGTAAACTTTTTACACTCATTATTTCACACATAGTTTGCAACATCTTTGCATGTACAGATTGGCTCAACAGAAAGAAATCTGCAAAATTTGGAAAGGGAGGATGTCATGTGGACTTAGCACGGGTAAATTTTTGGTCTTGATGGTGTAACAATTTGATAAAGTTCATCATAGCACTTCAAACCACAAGGATGGGACAGGCTTGTGTAAGTTCGGCCTGTCCTATCTTCGTCATTTCAGTGCCGCAATTACCTCTATGAACTTGTCATGCGCTTTTTGTGCCTTTGTTTGCTACACACTGCATTCTTGTGTTTTTTGTGTAGAGTTCAGTTCAACTGGACTCCTGTTGAATTTTGTGCTGTGTACAAAGCAAACAGGTACTTTAACGAGCTAGTCGTGAATTACTGCATTCATTCCGAAAAATCAAGCTACCTGTGCAAAGTATATAGCACGTTGTAATCATTCCATGAACCCCGTGTTTACTTGCGGATGAAGGTGTGTCCAGAAACTAAATTAACAGCGTGTCCAGCCAACAAAAATCTCCGTCAAACAACACAAATAACTCACATTCGCAGGCACGAAGAACACAAATGACATCCTCCATTGCTATATTTTGCAAGCAGGCTGCATGGTACAGCTGTGGTGCGGCATACTGTTGTGCGGAACAAGACAGCAGACTTTTGTGTGGAACAAGACAAACATTTTTGTATACGTTGCAATAACGTATCTAATAGGTAAGATTGCCTTGTTCTAAGGAATTCAACGTATTCTGATCACAGAATCATATTCGTCGCTTTATTAGAGTGACGGGTTCTGTGGTAACTGTGCTGAAGCATGGCTTCCGTAAATAGGCTACGTCTTAGGGAGATAGTTGTATTATTGCTCACGGAATTGGTCGGCAACGCTATACCTTCAGCATTCTCCGTGAAGGAGGGTTCCCATTTTTTACAGTGTATGCTTCTTGTCGTGACCCGAACCGGATGTTATTAACTTCCCCCGGCGTATGGGCGTTTCTTTGTGATATCTCAAAAATTGATAGCGAGCAATTTCAGCACGTTTAGGCTCACCGTTGAACCTATTTTGTATTGGCTTCAATTCTGTCAGCTGTGACGGTCATCAAGTGCGCAGAAATAGATCATACAGTTTATTTTTGTTTTTCGTCGTAATTAGGTGCGCACTTGTTACCCATCATTTTCTGATCTTACTGCTTTTGAATTAAAAGTTATTAGCACAGCTGCGTATGAAGGTTTGAAGAAATCTTCAATAGACCTTATTTGCGTCTGACGTTCACGCAACATGGGACCTATCGCGCCTACAAATTTTGTGCCCGAATCACTGCAAGGCGCTTTGAGATATGTGCTGAATAACTGATGTTTTTTGTCAGTAATCATAGAGTGAAATGCAGCAAATATAGGACAGTGATCACTTATACCTAATGCTGGTGTTCCCGCTTGTAGTACTGTAGTTTTAACATTTGTGATATTTAAGTCTAATGTTCACGGAGTAGCAACTGTCACACGAGTCACAGTACTAAATTAGCGAAACCAAAAACTGTTTGACTATTGGTCGCTTCACACGAAGTTGTCAGATGGCGTGTTTGACTTATTTTATGCATAGCTAATGGTCCGCTCAAGTCAATATGGCTGTCGGATACACAAAGGCACGTGGTGCATAGTTTGGTACCCCAATGATTATGCGCGTGATACCTTGAAGGAGGTTGGTGTTGTAGCGTAATTTGGTTGCGGTGCAGCGCATGTATGGAAATGCATAAATAAACCTGGTGTACACTAAAACTTCTGCGA